TTTTTATTTATATATATTCAAGAAACAAAATTATTATAATTTCTATATTTTACTTTAATATTCTCATTCTTGATATTTATTTTAAAATTAATGTTTCGATTAATTGTTCGATTAGTCAGTAAAAAATAAATATTTAAAATATATAAATATTTATAATAAATATACCCTATATCTTGTTAGCATTTATGTATATATGTTTCATCAAATTATAATATTAAACGAAATCTCATGATAAAAAATAGTATTATCCTTCTTATAGCAATAAATATATTTTTTTATAAAAAGTTTTATAATTATAACTTGCATGTATTCGATTGTAATAATGAAGAAATGAAAAAATTGTACAATAAAAAATAAGTAGTTTAATAAGTATATAAAAATATTTTTTTATCTTGTATTGATAAAAATAATAAAATTAATTGTCGTGTTTTTTGAACTTACAAAATTTAAGAATCGCATATTAGCATTTATATGAATTTTTGAATGATCCACAAATTTTATTTTTATGTATTTATATTATAAATATATATTGCATCATTTCATTATTTAATTATATTTTATGTTTATATTATATTTATATTTTTAATTTCAAATAATTTCATCATTTTATTTTATTTAAACGATATATGTAATATGAACGACAATATAGCAAGGTAAATATTATATAATATATTAAATTATTAGGAAGTTGCATCATCTTTTGTCGTGTTTATGCCATGCATTGCATTATTTTTTAAGTTTTCAAAATATTTATTTCATTATATTATAATATATTTGATTATAAATTTGTCAAAATACTATTTGACATGCGAAATATATTCTTATTTTATATTTTATTGATTTCATATAATATTATACATAAAGCGAAATTATCTCGGTATTGCATAATAAAAATCGAAGCAAGACTTCATATATTTTTTATTTTTGAATTTTTTGAATTTTATTTTTTTTTATTTTAAATTAATTAATAAATAATTTAATTTATTTTGAATAATAAAAAATATTATCAATGGATATGTTATTAAAATAATTTATATCAAATATAAAATATTTATGTGATAGATATGTTATATTTGTAAATTTGTAAATCTGTTAGTCAATTTATATAAAACTATTCAAATAATTTGTGATAATCGTTTTTTGTATATTATTTTACTTTTACAGTTAAAATTTAGAATTAGAATTTAAAATAATATGTTATTATTTTATCTTTGTAATTAAAATACAGAATATTTCTATATTCTTTTACAAATCAAATTATCTATAAGTAAAATTCTTATGAATCGTTGCCTAGAACAATTAGAAATAATCATATGTTATTCTTTCTTTTTTTTCAAATGTTAGGATTCAAATATTTGAAAATAAAAGAAGACACTTATTTCTTAATTTTTTTTGCAATTAAAAAATTATTATTAGCTCTGATAATAAATATAATGAAATCGAAATTTAAATATTAATTCTATAATAAAAAAAGAAAGAAGTAAAAATTGTAAGTTAATTTTAATTTCACCACAATAAGAAATAAAAAAATAGAATTTTAAATTAATTTTAAAATTAAATTAATTTTAATTTTCAATTTGTTTATTTGATTACTAAACATTTAATTTAATATCTATATTAAGTAATAAAAATATTGTTTTATATTTAGAGATTCTATAACAACAATTAAGAGATAATCCTTGTAAAAATCAATTAAACTATTTTTATTTATTAAATTATTTTTATTTAAAATTTTCAATAAAATGAAACTTCCATAACTTGAGAATTTTATCTCTTTTGTTAAAATTTTATCGAAAATTGCAAAAATCTTTCTCAAAGAGATAAGAATATGTCTTTTTTGTCTCATCTACTTTTTTGTCTCAAGCTTCTTTATTCATTCTTTTATTCTAATTTTATTCTATTTTGAACTTTTTCTTTTGCATTATTTATTTTTTATCTAAACTTTTTTTATCTTTTTTCAATATTTCTTTTTGTCAAAAATATGGCAATTTTTCAAAGACTGATCTAAATTATATTTTATTAGTTTATTAGCAAATGTTAATATCGATTATTGAAGTCAATTTTCATAGTTACAAAATTTGACTAAGCGATCTATGATTGAAGTAATTATTGTAATTTTTTTTATAAAAAATTTTTAATTTTTTATAAATTATATAATTATTACTATTAGTTTTTGTGAATATTTTATTTATAAATATTGTTTTATTTGAAAAAGTAAATTACATTTAAATAAAAATATTTTTTTTTAAAAATTATTTTTATTTATGTAATAAATATGAATTATCCTTAATGAATTATCCCCCTAAATGAATAAATACTATATTGGTATATTTCCCTACATCATTTTTTTTTTTTTTTTTTAAGTTTTTTTATGTACTTTCAATTTCTAATAACTCTAATTATAGACAATATAAATCTCAAAAACAAAGATGGACAAAATTTTAATTATTGATAATAAAAATATTAAGAAGAAAGTCACTTCAATAATTTATTATTCAAAGTATCGAATAATTGCATATATATTGCAATAACTAATGCCACAATTAAGATTATAGATGAAGAAGTTAACTATAATAACTATTATAATAAATTATTCAAATATTTTAAATAAACTTATTATTTAAAGTAACTTTATTCGAAATTTTAACTAGTTACTTTTTTTAATGCCCAAATGCCCATCAAAAAATATCGAATCTGAAAAGTTTTAAAGATCTTACATGCATCTTACGTCATATCATCAAACGATTTACATTAAAAAATAAACGATCATCAATGATGATTTACCTGAGTATTATTAAGTTTTTGATTTCTAGATGCAATAGAATTCGACGAAGGCGATGACATCGGATCGATTATAGAGGGACGTGGCATTTGGAAGCAAGAAATACGAGGCAACGAAGCTGGTACATATTCCTTGGTAAGATAAGCGTGTTCCTTTACTCTCTCCAAAGAAGGTCTGAACTCAGGATTCGGTTGGAGGAGCCATTTGATAAGATCTTGCCCGTTTCGGCTCGCTATCGAATCGTCAACCTCCCGATAATGATTGTTACATATCCTCGCGTATGTTTCTTTTAGCGATGCTGTGTCGAAAGGTGGTTGCCCTACCAGCAGGGCGTATAGTATGCACCCAAGCGCCCAAACATCCGCCTCGTAACTGTATGCTTGCTTATACAACACTTCCGGCGCGATGTAATTCGGTGTTCCGCATATCGTCCTGCGCATACAAACGAATTATTACAATTTTCACGTATATCAAGTGCAAAACTATTTGCTCTTGATATGATTCTCGAGATACGATTTCCATTCTAGATAATCTAGGACACTTGATGTGAAACAAATCATGAAAATTTTTTTTTTTTATTAAGAATGTTCGAGTTATATTCGTTGTGTGTTTTTTGTAGCATTGAATAATAAGAAGAATTAAGGCAATATTTAGTTAATTTAGGTTTGCATGTTTATCCATTTAGTAAAATTGTTATTATTAAATAATTTCAAATATTATTCTATCTGGCTAAATATTTTTGAGAAATATACTATACTCTTCAAAATTATTGATAAATTGATTTATTTTTTGATTATTTTTTTCTTTTTTTAATTATTTTTAGCAATATGTGATATTTTTAAATCTTAATATTATTATAATATATATATAATATATATTAATAATATATATA